CTGTAAAATATGGGTATGTTGCTGGGATGGGGAGGGTGCACCATGTGCAGATTAGACTAGTGGATCTCTAAAATTCCTGACATCTCTAAAGCCCCATGGGGGTGAGCCCCTGTTTCCCTCGCAGGGCAGTCCAATCTTATCTCCCAGATAGGCAGATCTGAATCCTGAATCCTGATCTTTTTTCTTGACCGTAAGGAATTCACCCCTCTTTCAGCCTCATTTTCCTTGTTTGTAAAACAACAACAAACAAAACAGTTTTTAAAAACAAACAAATGAGCAACTTCCTTCCTATCAGTGTTTCCGCAGGCACTAAGCTAACAGTGGACGCTCCCGCCTTCTTTCTGCTTCTAAGCTGCTCAATCAACTCCTGCCCCGGCCTCCCTGCCCGCGGGCCGGCTGCCCGGCCGGCCACTGCATGTAACCTCCTCTAAAAAGGCTCAAGTGCTTTACGTCATTACGCCGAGTCCTGCACTTTGTATCATAAACACGATCCACAAGCAGAGTTAAGCGTGAAGGGCGGGTGCGGGGAGGCTGAGGAATGAATGGAAGCGACTGGGGAATGCACGCAGCTCAGGCCCCGCCCCCAGACGCGACGCGACGCGACGCGCCCAGCCCAGCCCCGCTTTCCGACACCTGGTGGCGCAGGACCTGCCTTTGCCTCTCTCCCACCCTTCAAACCCCGCTCCACTGCTGGACTCCCGTGAGATCTGCGACTTGCCCCGGAAGACCCGCCCCCTGTGCTGTGGAGGCCAATGGGCAAGGGCGACAGTTGCGACGGTTGGGTTTTGAAGGAGCCAATGAGTGCTCGGAGCGGAGAGTTTAAGAAGTGTAAATCCGCACTGCTAAGGCCGGTCTGGAATCGGAGTCTGCTTTGAGCTGACGGTGAGAGGCGGCTGGGCCGAGCGAACCGGGGTGAGGCCGCGGCCGGGGGTGCCGGGCTGGGAGGGGCTGCGGCCGGGGGTGGCCCTGTGTGGTCGGCTGTCCCAGAGCACGGTCGCCTTTCTTCCTCCGGGGCTCAGTGGGTAACCCTCCCCCTCCAGACACTCCCATGGCCCAGTTCGTGTTCGAGAGTGACCTGCACTCGCTGCTGCAGCTGGATACACCCATCCCCAATGCACCCCCTGCGCGCTGGCAGCGCAAGGCGAAGGAAGCCGCGGGGCCGGCCCCCTCGCCTATGCGGGCAGCCAACCGATCCCACAGTGCCGGCAGGACCCCGGGCCGAACTCCCGGTCAGTAGGGTGCGGCGGGACGCGGTCAGGAAGAGGGAAGGGCTGAGAACAGCCTTCACGACTGCTCCCATGGGAGCCTGTTGTGACAGTCTGACTTCCCTCTCCCTGCCCCAGGCAAATCCAGCTCCAAGAATCAGACCACTCCCAGCAAACCTGGCGGTGACCGCTATATCCCCCATCGCAGTGCTTCCCAGATGGAGGTCGCTAGCTTCCTGCTGAGCAAGGAGAACCAGCCCGAAGACAGTCAGACGCCCACCAAGAAGGTATGTGTCCCAGGGGGGCTTAAGGCAGGAAACCGATCTGTATAATCTGGATGATACCACCACCTCACCACCACCCTTATGTGCCAGGAGCATCAGAAAGCATGGGCTTTGAACCTGAACGGTTTTGATGTGGAGGAAGCCAAGATCCTTCGGCTCAGTGGAAAACCACAAAATGCCCCAGAGGGTAAGACCTGAAGTTTTCAGCTCTTGGAGGGAGGTGTCATTCCATCCCCAGGGCTCGGGATAGATGAGATGGCTCTTCCCACCTAAGACTGAGAGGAGTGAAGGTGCTTCTCTGGCCTTCCTGGTTAGGGGCAGGGGGAGGTGTCAGTTCTCCCAATGTCTAGACCTACTCCGTTGCTACAGGTTACCAGAACAGACTGAAAGTGCTCTATAGCCAGAAGGCCACGCCCAGCTCCAGCAGGAAGACCTGCCGTTACATTCCTTCCCTGCCAGACCGGATCCTGGACGCCCCTGAAATCCGGAATGACTACTGTAAGTGCAGCCTTCTCCCTGACCGGTGGATGGAGAAAAAGGGAGAGAGAGGGACTAGGCAAACTAGAAAGCTCATGCTCTTCCCTTCCCCCTCTGGCAGACCTGAACCTTGTGGATTGGAGCTCTGGGAATGTACTGGCTGTGGCTTTGGACAACAGTGTGTACTTGTGGAGTGCTAGCTCTGGTGACATCCTGCAGCTGCTGCAATTGGAGCAGCCTGGGGACTATATATCTTCTGTGGCCTGGATCAAAGAGGGCAACTACCTGGCTGTGGGCACCAGCAGTGCTGAGGTGCAGGTGAGACTTGTCCCTGTGCTGCAGCTCTATTGTTCCCCAGAACAAGACCCCCAGGGACCTTGCCCAGCAGGAGGATGTTAATGCCAAGCCCTGGTCTTCATGGTCTTCTCTCTCTGTAGCTATGGGATGTGCAACAGCAGAAACGGCTTCGAAACATGACCAGTCATTCTGCCCGAGTGGGCTCCCTCTGTTGGAATAGCTATATCCTGTCCAGGTTAGTGGTTTTTGCTAGTCTGTTACAAAATCAGTCTATGATTTTGGCCCCCTCTCCCCGGACTGTACACCTCTGAACTGAAGCAGCTCTGGCCTGCTGGTGGCGTTTGGCACTGCTATAGGACCTGATTCCCTTCTTTCCTCCTGCAGTGGCTCACGCTCTGGCCACATCCACCACCATGATGTTAGGGTAGCAGAACACCATGTGGCCACATTGAGTGGCCACAGCCAGGAAGTGTGTGGGCTGCGCTGGGCCCCAGATGGACGACATTTAGCCAGTGGCGGCAACGATAACTTGGTCAACGTGTGGCCTAGTGCTCCTGGAGAAGGTGGCTGGGTTCCTCTGCAGACATTCACCCAGCATCAAGGGGCTGTCAAGGTGAGAGTGGGGCTGGGCTGGGCCTCTGCAGACTCTCACTCAGAACCTCTGGGGACATGGGATGGTGGCATTGGACTGGGTTAATCTGTGAGCCCTATAGCTCTGTGTCTAGCTCTAGTACCTGCTGACCCCAACTTTTTATCACACCTAGGCTGTAGCTTGGTGTCCCTGGCAGCCCAATGTCCTGGCAACTGGAGGGGGCACAAGTGATCGACACATTCGTATCTGGAACGTCTGCTCTGGGGCCTGTCTGAGTGCTGTGGATGCCCATTCCCAGGTAGTCTTCCTTATTCCAGCCTCTCACTCCCAGATGCGATCTTAATTCTATATAGCCTTCTGGGCAACCATGTCCCCTCCAGTGGCTTCACCGATGCTATACCCTGATGGTTTCCAAACTTCTAACTCAGCTCTCACTCATGAGCTCCAGACCCACATTTCCAACAGTCCACAGAGAGCTTGTCTCTAACGCCATGTGCTATAGGTGGCACCACCCTAATATGTCCCAAATTAAACTTGTCACTTCTCCTTGCCTCCCTGAAATGCATTCCTCATCCTCCTATGTTGTTGTGAGGGACACCACTCAGAAATCTGAAAAACCTAGAATCTTTCATCCTCCCCACCTAGTCACCAAGATGTCTCAGTTTTACCTCAGAATATCATTTACACGTGTCCCCTCCCCTCAGCCTCATCCTTCTCCCCGGTGGAGGCTCACAGCACTGGTCTTTTCATATCTCTTCCAGTCTGTCCTCTTTTCATATCTCTTCCAGTCTGTCCTCTACACTGGTCTGGGTGGTCTGTTTCTGTCCTCTTTAAACCCTGCAAGGGCTCCCTATCACCTACAGTATATAATCCAAATGCTTTAGAGGCTCTTGCTGGTGTGTCTCCCTGCAAGCACTGCAGCTTCCTCTTGCCACCCCCTTGCCCAGCACATGCAGCCTTCATTCTAACCTTGGGCTCAGGTTCAAATTCTGGCTCTGCCTCCTACTAACTTAACTTGCATGTGATCTTAAGCAACTCGCTGAACTTCCTTCTGCTTGATTCCTGATCTGTAAAGTGAATAACAGTTATAACTCTCCAAAGGCTTTTGTAAGGACTACAGTCATTCAAGTCTGAGTCCGTAGCACCTGGTAGGGTGGCTAACACCACGGTGGACTTGGTTCTGATTTGAGTAGTGTTGGCTCTATGTACGTCATGCCCATGCCATTCCCTCTCCACAGGTGTGCTCCATCCTCTGGTCTCCCCACTACAAGGAGCTCATCTCAGGCCATGGCTTTGCCCAGAACCAGCTGGTTATTTGGAAGTACCCAACCATGGCCAAGGTGGCTGAGCTGAAAGGTAGGTGCTAAGTGACAGAAGCCAGAAACAAAAGGGCACGTATTGTATGACTATTTATATGAAATGTCCAGAAGAGGCAAATGCAGAGAGGGAGAAAACAGATTTATGGTTGCTAGAGGCTGAGGGGAGAGGGTAATGAGGACTTTCTTTATGGAGCGATGAAAAAATTCTGGAATTACTGTTGTGATGGTTGCACAACTCTGAATATACTAGGAACCAATGAACTGTACACTTTAAAAGGATGAACTTTATAGTGTGTGAATTGTTAATTATCTCAGACTGTTATAAACAAGTTCTCAAAATTGGAAGGCTGTAGGTATCTACCTTCACTTGCACTGCTCTCCCTTCTTCCCTCCTCACGCCCCAGGTCACACAGCCCGGGTCCTTAGTCTGACCATGAGCCCAGATGGGGCCACAGTGGCGTCAGCAGCAGCAGACGAGACCCTGCGGCTGTGGCGCTGCTTTGAGTTGGACGCTGCCCGGCGGCGGGAGCGGGAGAAGGCCAGTGCAGCCAAAAGCAGCCTCATCCACCAAGGCATCCGTTAAGGACCAACTCAGCTTTGCTTTTTTTTTTTTTTTTTTTTTTACTTTTCTAATAAAGTCACGTCTCCCTCTTCTCCTGGCATGACCTCTGTCCCAGCAGCCTTCCCCGGGGCTCCTCTCTACTGTGATCAGAGAGCTAGAAACATCCATCCTGTGGGCACCTTGACCATCCCTCCTGTTTGCAGACAGGCTGGCAGGCTTTGTACCCACCTCCTCCATTCACACATGTACACACACAGCCTCAGCGGTTTCCTCTGTCACTTTTAATGAAGACATAAAGGAGTGAGCAGCCTCCACAGGCTGTATTCCCAGGCCCCCACCACCCTGACCTTTGGCCAAGAAGCTCCTACTTCAGTGTGGGGTGGAGAAGGAGGGAGCCTGGGTCCACAGTGACAGATTATTGCTGACCTCTTCAGTGTGAGGAAAAAGGCCACACGACCCTGGTGGGGACCAGCCCTGAGTGCTCCTCTCCCACGTGTAAGGCAGGGAGGGGGAAATAAGTGTCCAGCCCTTTCGGCCCCTGGCTCTGGAGTGGCAGAGAGCAACGAGGCCTTGTCCCTGGGGCTGGCCAGAAGAGGAGGAATGGAAGCAGTGGTCCCTGTGTACCAGCTGTGGGGAGCAGAGGACCTGTCACCTGCTCAGTCCTGACCACATAAGCCCTGGTCACAGGTGTAGCTGGGGAGGACAATGACAGATGCTGCCCGAGGTGCAGTCCTGAGGCACTTAGGTGGGCGCCTAGCTAGGCCATGTTTCTCAGTTAGCCTTGACTTTGGCAGTACCTGGAGCTCCATTTTGCTGAAGTACACGGGGCAGCCGCTTGCCTTTGGTGTAAGACTGATACCAGAAATTGGAGAAGAGCAAGAAGAAGATGGTGCCGTACATCCAGATGAGATGGATGATGATTGGATACTGGTAGTTACAGCCGGGCATGAAGTAGTACTGGGAGATGTGCAGCGAGACCAGGACAAACTGGATCTAGGACAGAAAGGCAAGGGTCAAAGGGCACAGTGAGAGGACCGGAGGGAAAGGGGGTAGAAAAACAGAATGCTGAGTAGGGAGGGCTGGGGTCAAAGGTGAAGTAGGCTGGCTAAAGGTAGGATCCAGACCAGAATGTTGAGGGGATGGTTGTAGGTCAGGCTCAGGCCCCTCACCAGCTGGACAGCTGTCATGTGCTTTTTCCACCAAAGGTAGGGCTGAGCCACAGGGCCAAGGGCAGACAATCCATAGTACAGGTACATGATGACGTGCACAGAGGAGTTGATCATGGCGTGGAAAGAGCCCATTCCTCCTGTGCATGGACAATCAGGACCTGAGTTGGGCCTCTGGTCCCCAGTGCCTGTCCCTCCTCCCCCGTGGTCTTCACCACTCACCTGGAGCAAATTTTACCCCCCACCACCAGCTCCAGGGAAGCACTGAGTGGTGGAAGACATGTAGGAAGGTCACCTGTCCATCTTTCTTCCGGAGAATAAAGATCACCTGAGAGAAGAGTGGGGTAAGGGGTTTCAGAGCCAGGGCCTCTCACTCCCTTCTCCCCATAAGTTCTCGAATCTCATGTAACTACTCACCGTGTCCATCAGCTCAATGAACTTGGAGAACAGGAAGAGCCAGGCCACTCGAACCATCTGTAAGAAGTCAGGGCAGCCTTAGGACCGCCAAGAGCCTCTCTAAACTGGCTCATGAGCACAGGGCACATCCAAACTGCTCCTAACCCCAGGCTGCTAAGGACCTGGCCTCCGTCCCCACTTACCCTCAGTGCCTCGGGATTGTTGGAAAAGTCCACTGGGTCACAGCGCCAGGTGTAGGTGCTCAGCCAGCCAGACATCAGGAACTATGAAGGGGTGTGGATTAGACCGCCAGACTTCCCTCCCTCCCCCAAGTCTCTTCTGTTCTCTAGATGGAGAAATAGAGCTGAGCCTCTCTGGAAAGGAGATGCCATGCTCTGGCCCTAGGGCCTGCCCCTTATCCTGCCGGCAGGAATTAAAGCCTAGGCGTCCTGGGGGCCCACCTCATAGACGATGTAGAGGGAAAATGCCACCAGTGAGAAGTTGTAGACAACCATGAAGCTGCGGAGCTGGAAGGGCTTCCGATTGGCCATGACGCGAGGCCCAAGTGAAAGAACGAAGTACACGTAGGTCAGGAGGATAGAGGTCATTAGCAGGGGGGACCCCATCAGAGGGTAGCCCTGGATCCGGGGATCTGTGAATAAGGGTCAAAGGAGTCAGGAAGGGTCACAGAGTACAAAGGGTCCCCACCAGGTGTGCAGACATGAGGTCAGGTCACAAAGGGTCAAGGGATTTGAAGGGACTCTCCACCATTAGGAGACAGCCCTAGATCCAGGGATGCCAGGGTGGGAGGGAGAAAGGGTTGGAGGACAGCATCTCACCTGCATGCTTCATCATCTCCTGGTACAAGTTCACAACAGCCTCCATCCTGGCTAAGGACTCTGGCGAGGTAGGGAGGATGGGTGTCAGACAGGGCCGACTGTGTTCCCCCCACGCCCCAATTTCACCCCTGACCCACAGACAGGACACAGACCAGACGCGACAACTCCCAACACCTCACTGCAGAAAGGACAGAGCAGTGAGAGGAAGGAATTGCTGGGGACTAGGGTGAGCAGGAGGCCGCTCGGGGTGGGGGGCGGGATCTGCTTCCCGCATACCCTGCCTGCCTGGGAAGGGCTCTTCCGCCCTTCCTCTCCACACCTTCCTCTCCTCTCCTCACGCTCTGCTCCTCTCCAGAGATTTTTACTTCCTGACCTCCCCTCCCTTCTTCCACAAGAGGACTCTCAATTTCTGGTCTCTTTCCAGAGAGTCTTACTTCCTACCAACAGGGAACTCACCTCCAGAACGAACCTCCTCTCCCTTCCTCGCCAGTCCCTCACCTCTCCAGCCCTGGAGTCTTCCTTCTCTCCAGGGGTCCTCCCCTTCAACTTCTCCTGCCCCATTTCAGGATGCACATCTCCCGGGATGGTCCCTCCTGTCCTCTCCCCTGCTGAGTCACCCCCTCGGGCTCTCCTCTGCCCTCCTTGGCTCTCACCTCCAGCCTCTCCTCTCGTCTCCGGAGCTCTCCTCTCACCCTCCCTCTCCAGGAGCCTGGCTCTTTGAGACTCCTGCCCTGGCGGCTCCACCTGTCTGACTAGATCTGGCAGCAGCCCCGCCCTCTGCTCGCCCCGCTGTACTGCACATGGGGTGGAGGGTGGGTCCAGGCCACAGGTCAGTACCTGGGGGACCCACCAGGATTGAGAAAGCCAAGTAAAGCTCAGGACTCACCACCCGCCCACCCCAGACCAGTCAGATGAGCTAAGGTTCTAGGTTTTGGCTAGAAACCTCCCAGGACGCCAGCCCCAGGCCTAGCCTTGGCCCAAAGAGAACTGCTGAAAACCCACACCCAGCATCCCCTCCTAAATTAGCCATAAATTCTCAGTTTGTCCTACTTCAGAATGGGTACCATCACCCTTCTCTCCCAGGGAGGGGCAGGGAGTGGCATGTGAGGAGGTGGGGAGTAGGGGAGGTCTCAGGAATCTTCCCCTCCCTCAAGTAGGGGGTCATAATGGGCTAGGCCCTCTTCCCCTCAGAGCCTGAAGGAATGTCGGGGGAGGGCTCACCGGGACACAAAAGCCTTGGCCCAGGCGGAGGACAGCCTGGGACTCGAGGCAGTCCCAGAGGGGCAAGGCGTTCCCCGAACAGCCAGGACAGCAGATGCTCTGCGAGCTGCCTGCACTCTGGTCGGCCAGGCTCCCTCTACCCAGAGAAGCACCTGTGCAGGTACTAAGTGAAGAACACACCTTCTGACACAGCTACGGAGGCTGCACACGCGCCCCTCACACACACATGTCACAGACGCTCCCCCAACTTCCATGCCGACCCACAACTGTCCCATCAAGGTCAGGCTCCAAGTCCTCCCATACACACAGCCCGTCACAGCTCCCCGCCACCAACGACAACTCGCCAGCGGCTATAGCACGCACGTGCACGCAGAGCCCACCTGGCTCCTGCAGGCTGCAAGTGCCCTCCTCTGACACTCTGACCACCCGGACAAGTCTTCATGGACTTTGACATGCATGGTCTCTAACACTCAGGCCTGCTCCTAGCTACGTTCACACTGGCAAACACACCCAAACACACACACACTCTTTCACAGGACCCGCATTACCATGTGCAAGTGCTTGTGCTCAAACGCAGGTTTCCTCACACGTCTGAGTCTCAGATGAATGTGGTCACATACATAAACTCACACAGCCCACCTGCAGGTGAACGAACCCAACATCACCCACACTGTGTGCAGACATATACCTGTCCTGGGTCAGGCACCCCCACAGCTCTCTTTTCACGGATGGCAGTCACCATTCATTCATTCATTCATTCATTCACAATCAGACTTTTGTTGGCTGCTTATTCTGGGGTAGGGCCTACCCAGAAGCATGTGATCTAACACACAGTTCCTCCCGGCCCATGTGAGCTTGCCAGCTTGTTATCTCCCAGGCTCTCTCAGCCAGCATCCCCAAGTTCACCTCCCCCCAGCCTACACACGCATGCACCCTGGAGGTCAGGGGTGGCTCGAGGCTTCTGGAAGGACCTCTCCCCAAGTCTGAGCTGAATCTGGGTGTGTCCCCAGTGGGGGAACTCAGTCTGGTCCTTCCTTCCTTTCAGATGGATGAAAGGGAAAGGCAGACAGGCAAAGGAAGGGGGCGGTGGCGGTGCACAAGGGCGCCAAGGGTTGGAAGGAGTAAGAGGGGGAGAGGGGCAAGAGAAGGAGGTGGTAGAGGAAGGCCCAGGTTCAAGCAAATGGGGGCCTGGCGGGAGGGAGGCTGCTGGGGAGGCCCAGCCCCGGAGAGCTGGGACCTCCCACCCACCCTCCCCAGGAACGGCCTCGCCCACAGCCTGGGCAGGGCAGGGCAGGCCGGGCGGCCCAGCGGGGCAGGGGCCTGGGCACGTGGCGAGCCCGCCCTGGGAGGTCCCGACTCACCAGTGGGGGCCAGGCGGGCAGTCGTGGAGGGCTCGGAAGGAGCAGGGCCGGAGAGGTGTCCCCAGGGCCAGGCTGCCTGCCACTTCCTCATCTGCTGGGCCGACTTTCTGTCACCAGAGGGGGAGGGGGCGGGCCGGGTGGGGGGCGCCCGCTGATTGGGCCGCGGGCTGAGGCAGGAGGGGCCGGCCAGCCCCGTCTCTGCTGGGCCCGCGGGGTGGGGGCGGGGGCGGGGGCGGGCCGCCGGGCCCCGGGCAGGAAGCACGCCCAGCCCCTGCTCCCTACCCCTTCCCGCCGCATCGCCTCCCATCTCCGTCAGCTCGCGCGGCCTGGCCCCGGCCCGCCCCAGTTGCACCCTGCGCCTTCCTGACGTTCAGCCTGCGCATGGCCTCATTCTGGGCCCTCTGGGGGTTTATCCACCAACAAGACCAACACAGCTTCTTTCGCGGCCGGTCCACCCGGCCTGGGACCCTGGGAAAAGTTCCAGGGTCAGCCCTCCCCGCAAAGAGCTCCCTGTCTAGAGGGTGGGACCGGAGGGGTGGGCTGCAGGCAGCCTGTGTGTGTGCGGAGAGCGGACTTGGGCAGCGGGGAGGTCTCAGCCCGAGGGAGAGGCTGCGCGGGGAAGCCTTCCCTACCAGCCCATAAGCCTGGATGAGCCTAGCGTTAGGAGTTGTTGAAAGGATTGTGTGGACTGGAGGTGGGCGAATGCAAGTAGCCTGGGGCAGCAACAGTTAGTGAATCACTGGCTACACTGGCCTTCAAGGCAGTGAAGGAAAAGGAGGGAAGCGACGCCCGCTGTGGCTGAATGTAGTGGTCTTGAAGGCCACATGGAGCGGTTTGGTTTCTTCTGGAAGCAGAGGAGAAACTGAAGAGTTGAGGAGGCTACAATCAGACCTGTATTGTTAAATATTCATCTCATATTTTTCGACCACGTACGGGGTTAAGTGCTGGTGGAACATCAATGAACGAGGCAGGTGCCGTCCCTGCATGGGGTTTACTGCCTAGCCCAATCACTTTGCTCTGGCATCCAGTGAGATGAGGGTACTGGCGGGGAGACCAGGTGAGAGAGCACCCTGACCTAAGAAGGTTTGGAAACTGACGGGATTGGAGAAGCAGACACTGGAGATTTCCCCAAGACAGCTGGGCCCTCTCTGTACACTTAGCTGTGTGGTCTGGCTCCGTGCGCTCTCCCTTCCCTCACCCACACACTCACCAAGTAGACTGAACTACTGGGGGTGAGGACTAGGTTTCTGCGAAATGAAATCTGTATCTCCAGCAGCGCCTGAAACAGTGCTAATAACTGCATACAGGATTATATGATGTACACGTGGAATTCAGAGGAGGTGGTGGTTTGGAAGAAATAATGTGTTCCTCGGTGGTGGGATCTAGCTATGTGGAAGTTTAGTCTCAGAGTTAAGAGGTCAGAGCCAAAGTACAGCTATGATCTAGCCCATTAGTACCTATGCTTGAAAGGAAATGGCAAAAGAATTCAACTATTCAAAAGGCTCAAACTTCTTAGCATGGTACACGACGGGCTACCTGATCTGGCCCTCAGCCTCCCATTCTACCAGTGCTATTCTCCTGGGCCACGTCCTATGCTTCAACTGTTCCCCAAGGATATCAGCGTCTTTCATATCCCCCCACCCCTCCAAGCCTTGTCTCCTAACTCAATACAAGATACAAGCCGCTCTCCCAGGCAATAAATCAGTCCCTGCCTTCGCTTCCACAATCTCCCTGCAATGCAGTTATCTGCGTGCCCCCTCACTATGTTTTAGTTGTCTCTGTACCTCTAGCATCTGGCCTAATGTCAGACTCACTTGACCCTCCACGATGTTTGTGGAATATTAGAGTGAATGAGAAATGTGTGAAGTGGAAGAGAGGTCAAGGGACCCAGAGTCAAGTGGGGAAAACATTAAGAATTCAAAAGACTTTCTACTTCCCTTGGGGTGGTACTATCTGTTGAGTCAATAAATATTTACTGTGTTAGGTATACTTCAGTGGCTTTGGGGTCACACCTAACTCCAAAGGCCTGAATTTAAATCTTCCACTTAGTACCTATATGACTTAATGTAAGTGGCTGAACCTCCATAAAATGTGAACAACGGTACCTGTCTCATATGATTGTTGTGAAGATTAAAGGAGATGACCCAGGTAAAGTGCTCAGCATGGCTTCTATCTTGACATATCATAGACAAGGGGGGAAGCAAGAAGGTATATACTTGTATGTAGATTCATAAGCATTCATTTAACAAACATTTCCTAAATGCTTACTGTGTGCAAAGCACTGTTCAGAGAGCACTATTGAGGGGCTTTGGACTAAGTGTCCATCTAGAGATGAACAAAGTCGACTATTATAAATGATGAAACAGTTCCAGAGGTCCGTTAGAGATAGAGAACTTCAACTATCCATTACTCACCTGGACCACGCGGGTAAATGACCACAGCAATCCCTCAGTAAATGCCCACTGACTACATGAATGAACATGCCCAAAGACTCACTTCCTTCAGTTCCTGTCCTAGTCCTAGGAGAAAGCGTCTTCAAATATCTGATATAGACCACCTATAGACCACCCGAGGTCCTACCAAATGGTATCTCCATGGCCCTGGGGTTACTGCAAAATACTCACAGTCTAGACGAGAAGACAGACGTATAAATTAACAATTACAGAAGCGTGTGGGGGGCATTCCCACAGAGATAAACCCAGAGAGTTAAGAGAGCACCAAGGGGGGCACCTTACCCCAAGGTGGGGATTAGTTCTTGAAGCCTTCAAAGAAATGACACCAAAGCTGAGCATTAAAGGACGCTTTCTAGAAGGCAGGGGAACGTATTCCAGGCAGAGGGAAGCATGTGTGTGAAGGCATAGAAGCAGGAGATGTGGCAGGTTTAGGGAGCTCTGGGTAGTTTGGTGTGGCTCCAGCCCAAAGGTCGTATAGCTAAGGGGGAAATGTCAGCAAGAGTCAGTTATGAAGAGCCATGTATGCCTCGCTTGGTAAGAAGTTTGGATTTTAATTGTTTATCTTTTTCAGCCCTGGCTACACACTAGAACCACCTGGGAAGTTTTAAAAATATCAGTGCCTCGCTCTCACCTCCAGATTGATTCTAAGGGTTGTTTTTAATGGGAAGGGGCTTGAGCGTGTTTATGTGCTGTATGGAAGGCAGTGAGATCCAGCGCACATGGACGGGTTAGCCTTTGGCTTAAGAGAACCCCTCCCAGTCTGAAATACATAGAAAAGAAGGATAACCTTGTCAGTGGACTGGGAGGAAATGGGACCATTTGGGACCTGCAGAGAAGCTAGGATGAAGGCCTTGGAGGTAAGAGGGTCCGCAGAAGGGTACCTACACCAGGGGCAGGCTGATGAACTGGAGAAGCTGAAGGGGTCCAGGAACTGTCTTGATAAGGATAAAGGCCAGGTGTTCGTGTGGGTAGGGAATAATAGGCAGTCCAACAGCTGAAACTCCCCCTGAAATACCTGGCGCCTTCCTGACTAACGGGAAGTGATGTGACAACGTCCCCTTGGCCCCGTTCTCTCTGACTCACATCTTACTCACGGCTCTCTGAGGGGCCTTTCTCCATCCTCTTTCCCCAGAAGACAAACTACTGATTTACCGTCTCCAATGTTCAGCCTGAAAACCACCATCTGCGTGAACGTTAACAACTCTGTTTCCCCGATTATGCAGCTTTATATGTTTCTGCAGAAAAACTAAAGGTAAATGGGATCACAGAAGCAGGAAAAAATGGGAAAAGGTATGCCTGTATGTGCATGAGTGGGTGAGGGAGGGAGCAGGTGAAGCCGTGGAGGGAACAGGGCATGGGAGACACAGGGGAACTGGCTGAGAACAACAGGCACTGAGGGTCGAGGCTGAGAGACAGCAGGAGTGGCAGATAGGAAGGGAAGCAGCCTCCCAGGGCCTGTGTCAAGCTTCTCCCTTCCCCATCCTGTAAAGGGCAAAGGGCGCTTTCTACACAGTATCCACACAGAGGAGCTGAGCAGAGGGCTGAGTCCGTGAGGACAGTGGAGTGAAGACGAGGGTGAAGGGCTCATCAATTAATCATTCTGCACGTCCCTGGGCCTTAGCTCACTAGTGTCCTCTGCCTAAGGCTGGGACCTTGGCTGAAGGAAAGATATCCGGCCAGCAGAAGAGAGAGGCTGCATGCAAACAGTCATCACACCATCTGGAATTTGGGGATTGCCTGGACCCTTGAGAGGTCAGGGGCAAGGTCTGATCCATTGTAGGTAGCCAATGCCAACGCATTATGGGTATCATTCAGTGTTCACTGAACTGAAGTAAAGAAACTCAGCTTGGGGGAGAGGGCTGCGATAGAATGTGCAGGAAGAGCTCTGGAAAGAGAAAAGGGAAGGCTTTGGTGAGGGGACAATCCAGGGGAGGTTATCAAGGTGGAAGAAAGAGAGTTAGCAAGATCTGGAAGATGTGGGAGAAGGGCCAAAAGGGGAAAAGAGGAAACGCAGCTTACTGTTCAATACTTTCTCTGGCAAGTGTAGGGCCAGCTGCTTTCCATATGCTCTTATGGTTCAGTCCTGTAAGGTAAATACTTACCTGTAAGTACTTACCTGTAAGTACTTACCTGTAAGGTAAGTACTATGATCACTGCTTAACAGATGGAAAAAAAAACAAAATCAGAAAGGGTGAAGGATTTTCTCAAGGTCACACAGCAAGTGAGGTGGAAGCAACATAGATGTTCCAAGCTGAGGAAAAAGTGTGGACAAAGGGATGAATGGAGGGAAGCACAGGACGGGAGTAGAGAATTGCAAGTGATTCTGTTTGGCTAAAGGATATGGTGAGTGAAAGGCCTTCATATGCTAGGTTAAAAAGGAGGTTGGCCCCAAATCATGAAGTGTTTTAAATGAAAGACTGAGGAGTTTTATTTGTACTGGGATGTCCCTGAAGATTTTTAAGGGGTTGGTATGATCCCCATTGTTATTGATAACGAAAAACCTGGTGAGAGTGAGATTATCAAGAGGAAAGCAGAGGAAGGGAGAGCAGGTGGGAGACCAGCTCAGAGGCACAGGTGTGACAGAGTGAGGGCCTAACCTAGAGCAACGGAGTGAGAAGGAAGAAGAGGGGATAGAGCAGAGAGAGGACCCAGAACTGACAGCAAGGTTGGCACGCTGGATAATGCAGGTGGAGCAGGATGGAGGAAGTGAATGCAGTTTGGGACATCCGGAGTTTGAGGAAGGATGGCACATTCCCCAGGCAATCTGAAACACAGTACTGTAAGCTTAGGAGAAAGGATGGGGTTCGGGGGGAAAAATATCTGCGGATTGTCTGTAGAGATGAAACCACACAAAGTGGACTGTAGTAGCTGTAGGTCTGGTCGTATACAGATACTGTCCCATCCCCCTGCTTTCATCTCCTTTAAGGAACTCCTGTCCTGCTCCACTGGCCTTTTAATCATGGTGTTCTCTCCACTTCCCCCAATGCTCCTAATGGTACAGAATCCAAGCAGCAACAATCAGAGTTCTTTCATGGGATGAGCTATATGCGGTAGAGTGGAGAAACGCAGAGACAGAGAGCCTAGATGACACTGGAGCCCCTGACCCACCTGGAGCTGGCCACCCTTCAACTCCACATCCGCATAACCCAAATCCAGTTGGGTCTCTCCCTCTCTCTCTCTTTTTCAGTTAAGCTAGTTTAATTGTAATATGTTGCAATCAAATATACCATGTGATAAAAACGAGACTGCTCAGGAGAGAGTAGGAGAAGAATAGTATTAGCATTTCAGTGCTAACTATATGCCTGGAGGCCCTTGTGTGCTTTTCTAAGAAGCTTGGACTTTATCCTGTAGAAAATTAAGAGCTATTTAAAGGTTTAAATTGAATCTTAAATATGCTCGGTGGAAGGTACCTTTCTGAGGTTGGTGCTATAATCCCATTTTACAGAGGTAGAGATTGAGGTTCTTGGAAGTGAAGTAACTTGCCTAAGGTCACACAATGGATAAGTGTCCAGGTCAGGTGTAATTTAAGAATGGTCAAGTGTACAGGGGAGGAGGTGGTAAAGACTTTACAGAAGTAGGTGCCACTGGGAGGATGAATTGTTCACTAGGTGAACAGGGGTTTGGAGCAGGAAAAAAAGAGGGCAGACATACTGAGAGGGCAGAGCATGTGTTAGGTATGGAGGTGTGAGACAGCACCTGACCTGCAGGTGTTGCCGATAGCTTAGAGTAGTGGCAAGAACCAGGACGTTGCCATGGCAAAACAAGGCCTAAAGCACTGGTGGTGAGTGTGAGGAAGAGGCAAGCATGGAGCTCTGGTTTGTGATGCCCAGTGAATCACACAGCCACCCGTGAAGACCTGAGCCCGGATTGAGTAAGCACAGACAGAGGAGAGAACACATCCCAGCTGCACAGAGAGACCTCTGAGTGGTGAAGGGCCTCCTTTAGAGATGGGATGTAGGCAGACTGTGGAACTGAGTCTTCAGCTGGTGTGGACAGGGAACAGACACAGTTTAGAAGGGAGGAAAAGGAACACTGCCAGTGAGGGAGCTTGTCATCTGATCTCAAATCAAAATCACACAATTTAAGAGATCAAACTGGGCTTTAATAGAAGAGTGTAGGTGACAACTAAGTGCGAGAAAGTTCACACAACTAGATTTGAAAATGACTTATCACATCAGGCAAACCAATATAAAAATGTTCCAGTGCCTGTTCTGCACATTGTGGGGGATGAAACGTGCCCAGAGGGTCTCTCCTGACACGTGAGCATAGCTGTATGCACAGATGAGCTGCAGAGGGAAGAAGAGTTACCTCCTCATAGAGGGACTGGTCAATCATTGATTTAAGCAACAACTACCGACAGCAGACTTCTAGACACTACCCTGAAGACAGTTAATATTTGAGCTTCTACTATTGTCAGGCACACTATTCTAAGCACTTTGTATATACTAATGTATTTAAACTTCACAGCATCCCCCAAAATAAGGAAACTGAGGCACAGAGAGGTAAATCAACTTGCCTAAGGCCACACAGCTCGTCGGTGGCACGGCTAGAATTTGAACCCAGGCAGTCTGGCACTAGAAACTGCTCTTTTAACCAAAATGCTACATTATACTCTCTCTCCAAAGTCAACCTAATAATAATAATGATAGCAGCAACTACACTTAACGTGTTTATGATGGTCCAGATGCCGTAGGACGCCAGGCATGCACATTCCTTGCCAAAGATCATATGGCTCCCAGACAGAAGAACTGGATTCAAACCTTGGCACTTCAGGGTGCTTGAACCTGGGGGACAATAAAGAGCAGCAGGAGCTAGAATAAGTCTGCACAAGGCACAAATGTGGAGCGGAAAATAGGAGGTCGTTGACCTTACCTGGTGGGAGTGGCACTGGGTTGTAGACAGACTGGGTTGTTGGAAAGCTTCACAGAGGAGTGACTCATGAGCTGAATTTTGAAAGATAAGATTGAGTAGTCATCACAGAATGATGGGGCAAAATGTTCCATGCAGAGGGAACAGTGGGACTAAAGGAATGGGGTCTGTTACATTCAGGAAACTTCAAGCAGTTTGAAGTGGGTGTCAGGACAATACAGAAAATAAGTCAGAAGTCAGGGGCTGGATCACACAGAATCCTACTTGCCTTTCCAGGAAATCTGAGCTGTTTTTCAAACTTCCACTGAAGTAAATGTGAAAAAAAAAAAAAAAAGGAAGAAGAAATATCCCCAGAGAATCTAACGGCTAATTATGAAGCCCTTCAGACTAGTAGGAATTCTTTGAAGTCTATTTTCTCCTACTGCATGCATGGTAATTCTGCATTCTGTTTAAATTATTTACCCTCGAGTAAAATGGGCATTCTAGAATGATTTTTTTAAAAAATATTTATTTATTTAGGCTGCTCCGGGTCTTAGCTGCGGCACGTGGGATCTTCGTTGCGGCATGCAGACTTCTTAGTTGTGGCATGCGGACTCTTAGTTGTGGCATGCATGTGGGATCAAGCTCCCCGACCAGGGATCGAACCCGGGCCCCCTGCATTGGGAGTGTGGAGTCTTACCCACTGGACTAGCAGGGAAGTTCCTCTAAGATGATTTTTATCCTGCGACTTTCAGTATGCCTAGCACACTGCCCCTACCAACCTGCCAGGTATGTGGACTCCAGTTTGAGAAACATGGGAAGGAAACTATCAAAAGGATTTTAATCAAGGGAGTAAGGTGATCAGACCTGCAGTTTAGATAGATGTATCTGGCAGCCATATGGAAGATGAGTTGGAGTGGGTAAGACTGGATACAGAGAGTCTGAACAATACTTTTAGGGTGAGAGGCCCAGGGCCTAAACTGCAGGGCAGGATCCTGGGGAGACAGAATTGACAGGATTTAGTATCTGATTGAGTTGGGGAGGTGGGTGTTTAGGATGGCTTCCATAGACCTGGCTTAGGTCACACCTAGGATGTTAGAAAAAAAACAGATTTGAAGGGAAAGATGATTGGATTTGGACATTCAGAACCTGAGGTACTTGTGGATCATATGGGCAGAGATACCCAATAGGCATCTGCAAGTCAGCAAAGAGGTCTGGGCTGAAAATAAAACCTGTTTGAGTTATGTACATAAAGGTGGTGGTCACAAGGAGAGCAGGCAGAATAAGAAAAGAGGGTTAAGGACAGAGTACTGGAGAACAACAACATTCAAGAAGCAGGCAGAGGGGGACTTCCCTGGTGGCACAGTGGTTAAGACCATGCACTCCCAATGCTGGGGGGCCCGGGTTCCATCCCTGGTCAGGGAACTAGATCCCACATGCATGCCGCAACTAAGAGTCTGCATGCCACAACTAAGGAGCCCGCCTGCCGCAACTAATACCCAGCGCAACCGAATAAATAAATGCTTTTTTTTAAAAAAAGGAAGCAGGCAGAGGGACAAAAGGCCAAGAGCTGCAGAGAAGGAATGGCCAGAGAGGTGGGAGCCGGTGAAGGGCAAGAGGTGAAAAGTTAATGGCCAGCACTGTTAAACACCATGGAGATAAGTAAGAAAAATAAGGACTGAAAAAAGTCTGGATTTAGCCATCAGGTCAGCAGTGATCTGAGACAGGGTAGTTCCCGAGGAAGGGTGGAAGCGGGGCTAAACAGCGAATGGGAGGTGTGCAGGAAAATGGTAGGCTCTGTATTTCACGAGCGTGGCTGTGAGTCAGGGAGTGGGGACATGGGCTCAAGAAGGACTAACATGGAAGGATACTAACCAAGGCCATGAAAATGGGTGCAGCCCAGAGAAATTAGTACAAAAAAAGAAATAAGGATGCTCTACATTTGGGGTGTGGGCCAGAGAAGATGAAGAATCAAAATGACCATAAACTAGGGAAATTCGGGTGAGGGCCAGGGAAGGCAGTGGAATGGCCGAGGGAAAGCGGGAAGGGGAGCAGCCTAGGGCTCCTTGGATTTGATTTAGTAAGGAAGGGTATCATGACAGTGGAAAAGTATAATTTACTGCTTTTATGGGGGAGTCTCTCTGGTACATATATCTTGCCCAGGGGAGAGAGGGGGCTCCCTGAGTGGGAAGGTGACTTCTGGCATTCAATGCATTTATCTCTGCGGTAACTTACTACCTCTTTGATGAATTTTCACTAAAGAACTAGTGAAAGCTAGAAAACAATTTTAGGGAAGTGATCTAGAGGGATGTGGGTATTTTAAGCTGCAGGTGACAGGGAACTTTAGGAACAGTTTGGAGGGGTTCAAGGGATTGGCGGGCTGATCTAGGAAAAACCTAGCCTATAATAACATAGTCATGCAATGAGGAATATGAAAAATGCCAGGGGTAAACAGGCTGGAGAATCATTGCCAGAGACTTTAAAGCTAGTTAGGATCACTGGGAGCACCTAGGCGAGAAAACCGAGGCCTATAGGGAAGTCACGGGCCTTGTCCATGATGTACTTGGGGAAGCTGCCATGTCCAAGTGGTAGGCGACATCTTGAGAACATGTGAACTCATCAAGAGATGACAACAGGGCTTCCCTGGTGGCGCAGTGGTTGAGAGTCCGCCTGCCGATGCAGGGGACACGGGTTCGTGCCCCGGTCCAGGAGGATCCCACATGCCACGGAGCGGCTGGGCCTGTGAGCCATGGCCGCTGAGCCTGCGCGTCCGGAGCCTGTGCTCCGCAATGGGAGAGGTCACGACAGGGAGAGGCCCGCGTAGCGCAAAAAAAAAAAAGAGATGACAACAGAGATCCAGGAGCTGCCTCAGAGATGCACAGGAGCTCAAGAGCAAAAGAGAGATAAGTTAAAGGGAAGAAAAGAGGAAGTTTGTCCTTTGGGACAAAACACATGTTGAAGCAATGGATGCTATGGCCCTGTCAGATGGATTGGAGTTCACCTTCTGTTCCAGTTAGAAAGCCCCATCTGCAGGGTGGCAAACCCCTTCCAAGTGTTAGCCCCTGTGCGTTCAAAGCTGACGGGCCAGAGCCACATCACGCCTCCATAGGTTGGTACAGTGAACCCTCCGGACTGAACCAGAGAGGGACCACAGCCCCCAACCCTACTCCTGGTCCATTGCTAAACTTCAATAGGCTAGCCCCCAAATCTGGAACAGATGGAAGAAAATGTACACCCCTTGGTAGTTTCTCTGAACAGTAATCAGGAGTTGACCTAGGGTGGGCATTTGGAAGCATTCCGCCTCCGTCCTGCCTGGTGCTGGGATCAGCTCACACGGCTCCTGTGTCCACAGGGCACAGAGAATACATTGTCCATAAGGAGGATTATTCTGTACAAGAAGCTCAGACAAAGGGAGAGGTTGTTCCCAGCTGCCTGGGGGAGGTGAGAAGGGGGTGGGAAAGGGACCAGCCTTGCACTGGGGCATTCCTGCAGAGCTCAGCTTCTTCCCTTCAACAGCAGGACAGGAGGTGGCCGCTACACCCGCTGCAGCTCAGTCCTAATGGCAGGACTGATAATGGAGTTAGAAGGAGCACTTAGCTAGAACAACCTATCTACCTTGGCTGTTTCCCAAGAAAATGCAAGGTGAAGTTAGGTGACCTAGCTAGGTAGGGCAGCAATAGACACCAGGAGGGGAAGAGAACAGGGTGACTGGGGCAATCAGCAAAAGGGACATTCAACAGTGACTGAGTCCCAGCCTCAGGGCAGAGCTGGAGAGCGAGTGGTCCTAGCAATGGGTGTCGTGGGGACACTGATGCATCCACCTTCAGCAGGATGACCTCTGTGCTACAGAATATTGAAGTTTCACAGCTGCTGCTTCTTTCTCCATCCCAGACACACACCTGGGAGACGATGGCCTAATCTCATTCTCCCGGGGCCCCAAGAGTAGGAGAAAACACAAGCCCTAGGCCAAACAGAGCCATCAGAAACTGAGCAACACTACCAGAGTGGAGCAAGAGGGCCATCTTTTGCAAATCTGAAATCTGAGCAAGGGAGCAGGTCAACGTCCTCTTCTTGAAAGGAAACTCTGTATTCCCTCCTTTGGGAATGAGTGTGTTAGGGATGGGAGATACTCTCCATTGAGGCATTTACTGAGCTGTATGGGCCCCAAAGTTGGCAATGCTACATAGGTTTGTGCACTCCAGAGGATCTGGGGTTGAGGGGTTGGGAATGAGAGCACGTGCTCCCGGAGTGAATATAAAGACATGAGTGCCTGCGGAGTAAGGACTGTTGGTTTAAGGGCACAAGATGTAGGTGGGGTCCTGCATGTGTCCCTGCTGGCGCAGGAGGACATTTCCACTCTGGGAGGACAAGGAATCCATTTCAGATGGTACTTTGGGAATGACGTCGATATTAGCCTGGGACAACAAAGAAACTTGGGGTGGTTTCAATAGGTCCAAAAAGTTTTCAAGAAACTTTCAATAGGAAGGAATCTTTTGGTAGAATAAAGGACAGCAGTCACCAAAAGATGCTCCAGGGGTTTTAGAGAAGCACACCTTGAACTCTATCCAATATGACAGTTAGCTCTGACATTTCCAGTGTGAAGGGAAGAGAAGATAAGGAACATCTGAGTGGGCTGACAGACCAGTAAAGGAGCACTGTTGAAGTGGGGGACAGGTCTGACATTGCCTCAGAGCTGATGGCAGGACTTTCCGTGCTCTTGTGTACTATGATCAGTGAGCTGTGTGAATACCATTTCTTGTCTTGATGGAACAGGAATGGATGTGACATCTGCAACCACTTTTCCAGCCCTTTGCTGCCACAGCCTGGCAGAATTCTGCCTGGCACTGAACAAATGCCAAAGTACTAATGTGTGACAGAAGAGAACAGAAAAAAGGCAGCTGGAAGGTGTGAGAAGGGCCTCCTATTACCTCTCAGGACATTTAGATCAAAGCTAAGAAAACTTTTTATTGGAAAACAAATTAGAATTGCCTTGCAGCAACCTTGAAAGTCTCTGACATGTAGTCTCCAATCCCTACGTAGCTGTCTCAATTTATCTGTCAGATTAACCCTGATACAGTGGCCATCAACTTAAATAACTTTATTCAGAGAAACCCTTTGGTCCACTTCTGCTGACTCAACCCCTGCCCTAGCTCACAACAGAGAGCTAAGCAAGGCAGCTTAAGCTGGAGACCCAAGCCCACTCTGCTCTCAGCTTTATAAAAGCAGGCAAAAGTACTGGCGGCTGCCACCTCCCGCCATCCACCTGGCCCTTATTGGAACCACAGGCTCAGTGTACTGGAGAAAAACCATCCTGGCTGGAGCCCAGGAACCAGGCAAATTATGAGGATAACTCAATCATGATGAAAGATGGTGTGAGGTGCAATTCCCCTCTCCCTCTAAAATAAGAAAAAAAGAGTCTGGGGAACAAGGGACTTTTTCATCTGCTAAGAAAAACCCTTTCTCACATAGTCCTGCCTGGTAGAGCCACTTCCTGAAGAAGCCCCCATATACCGGGCCTTCAACATCTTCCTTCGTGTGTGAGGTGTAGGGTAAAGGATAGGGTTCTTTGTGACTATTTCCCAGGTAAGAGCTGAACTGGCTTCTCAGAGGATGGAGAATAGAGCAGGCCTGAGCTTCTCCAGAGCCACAAGTGGACGGTCTGTCTCAGACCAGAAGCCTCGTCACCTGCAGCTTGGAGAGATGGCCAGGATGGAATCTGGGCAGGAAGGCCTGCGGAGACAGTAGGCCTCTAAGGACACAGAGGCTGTCACCGTTTCTGGCAGCACGAAATAAGCACAGGCTTTCAAATAGAGCTGAGCGGTCCATGATCTTGTGTCCATCAGCTCACCACAGACATGAAGCAGTATCAGACCAGGATAAGTTCTGGATCGAGGACTGAAGAGGGGGCAGTGGGGAGAAGTGGCTGTAGAAACTCTCATTTATTGAATACCCATTATTTCATAGACTGTGCCAAGTGTTTTACATGCATTTTCCCATTTTAATCCTCACAACAACCCTTTGAGGTAGGTATTATCACCATTTATAAACAAGAAAACCGGCTCAGAAAAATTAGGTCACTTGCCCAAAGTCACGCAGCTAGTCGGCAGTGGAGATGGGATCTGTCTGTGGCTGAAAGCCCGTATTCTTTTTATTATACCCATCTAGGTCAGCTTTGGGCAAAAGGCAGCTTCACTGCCGAACTCTGCAAAGAGCACCTGGGAGTGGAGGTTGTCGGCCACACTCACCGCTGGTAGGGATGCATGGAAGCCGACTTGATGTTGGTTTTTATTCCACTTGGCATTTTCCCTAAAAGGAACATGAAGAAAGACACCTGAAGCACAGTAAGACGTTCATGGTAAATCAGAAATGTGGTCCCTCAGGTTCCCTTCTGCACCTCCACTATCATCTCAGAATCTCTGTGGCATCTGACCCTGGACGGCAAGGCTCAGAGGTATGGCTCTTCGTCCAGCCCTCTCCCTGAAGGTGTCTAGGAGGAGGAATAGTGGGAGGGGTTGGAACACACCTGGCTCCTGCTCACCCCCTCCTAGAAAAAGAGAACTAAATCTGTGGGACCCCCATTTAATGTCACAGGTAAAAGAGTGCTACGTTCTCTCTTATTTTAATTGTCCCTTTGTCTAGACAGCTTGGAAGAAAATACCTCTTCTAGCTGCTTGCATCTGAACTCTGCCAGGCTGTTCTTATAATTACTAAAAGCGAGCAGGAGAGACAGGATACGGAGAAAGGACTACACACAGCACCGGGAAACTTGCCTGCTTGTCCGTTCCCAACACACCTACCCAATGGTCCTAATGAAGGTCTGACCATTCATTTTTCTACCTAAGACAAGACAGTGAGAACACACCTAATACCCGGAGTTAAAGGGGACAGAAGGGTAGTTGAGACCGAGATCTGAGATGGGGTGGGAGGCGAGAGCAGTTTCTGCTTGTCAAAGTTCTTCCTCGTTGTCTGGTACCTACTAAGGGTCTCAAATGAGACTTTTACTCCAAAAGTTTTTTTTCTGGGTCACAGTCCAAGGGAGAAAAGGAGAATATCTCCAGCTCTGGGGACGCTGGGGCCCCAGATAACCCAGCTTATTCCCACTTCCCTGCTCAAGGTCTGCCACCATGCCAATCCCTGTCACCTTACCTGGTTGACCTGCTTGGGCCATCTGCACCCCACTGAGCATTGGCTGCTGCTGACTCGGAGCTCCTGCCATCTGCACCTGCTGTAATCCTGAGGCTCCTGCGAGGATTGTCCCAGCTCCTGGCTGGCCCGGCTGGCCAGGACCACTGCTGCCTGAAGGCCTCCAATTAGACAGCCCCTTCCCAAAGGCAACAGCTGCCACTAACGCATTGGTGTCTGCTGGGTTAAAGGTCTGCTTGTTCGGCCGGAGACCTGAAGAAAAAGTAAGTGGGGACCCCGAGGTATGCCTCTGGCCCTGGACCGAACCTAGCAGCAGGAAGACCAGTATGGGTACCAGGGCTTGGAGTTCTGACTTCAGCAGAATCTAGGCTCCCTGGCAGCCCAGAGGAAGAGCCAGAGGACCCCCATGACTACTCAGAATACTCCCTTCTCCCTTTGCCCATTTCCTCCACCTGCTCCAGGGCTGGCCAGAAATACAAAAGGCTAACAGAATGGACGCATACCTTTTCCTAAGCAGCACATCCTTTCGTCCTCACTTCACCACTACCAACACCACCCTTCCTATTGATCTTATCCCTCTTTCCTCCTCCGTTTTGCCACCAATCCCTCCATACCTCCACTCTCCGCTTCTCGTTCCTCTTTGCTGATTTTCTCCAGAAGGTTTGAGCACATTTTATTCAAGCTCTGGATCTGCTTCTGCAACACACATAAATTTGTGCAGAGATTAGGGCAAGCAAGAAATGATTACGGGGACGTTTCTTCCTTGGGCTATTCCAGGGGCAACTGAGGGGTAACCAGCTGTGAATCCCTACCATACAGAGGTGGTAATGCCCAGCTTCTCATGATAAAATTCGGGGTTGGGGGAGCAGGGCAGTGACTCAGTCCAACCTGAGCTGCATCAGCACCAATGCGGGCAGCATCTGTTGTCAGCTGCTTCTCTTGCTCTTCTACCTCAGGGTCAGGCTTGGTTCTCAGATGGTCAGGGACCACCTCATGGCTAAAAACAGGTACCCGTCCTTCAGTCTGCCTCTGTAACACACAGAATTTATTGATCCTACTGTGCACTCCAAGAAGATTCAATCTGGCCTGATATATACATAGTTCCTTCCACAGGCAAAGAGTGCATTTTCAGGGAAAACACAACCTGAGACTAACAATATCTGGCTTCCTAAGACACTATCCCCCTCACTCCATCCTCCAGTTCTGTCTACTCACTCCCCTATCTCTACCAGACCTAAGGATAAACCTCTTTCTGCCACATTTAAATCAAAGATTGAAAGAGAAAAAGTCAGGGACTTCCCTGGTGGTCCAAAGGTTAAGACTCCGTGCTTTCACTGCAGGGAGCACGGGTTGGATCCCTGGTCAGGGAACTAAGATCCCACATGCCGCGCAGCTCAGCCAAAAAACAACAACGACAACAAAACCAAAAAAAAAAAGAAAAAGTCACAAAAGAACATACTTTCTGCTCAAGACAGGTGTTGAAGGAAAAAGGTCTTTGTCTTAGTGACATATGCCTCAGATTAATTCAGTTTGGGAATGGCTCTCCCAACTCCAGAAGGACAAAAAGCAAAGCCTCCAAAATGCAGCCCTCGCTTCTTACTGCCACACACTACTGCAGATTCAGAACTTCTAGAATAGCCAACCAACCACTGTGCCCTCAGTCCTCATCTAAGAACTTAATTTCCCAAGTTGCACCCCTCTCCTCCTCTTACCATGAGATCTTCATCTCGGTCTGGGGACAACACCAGAGGGATGATGACCTGGTTACGGAACAGTGGTGTCTTTTCATGCTTCAAGACCTTGTTCAGAGTGTTCAACTGTCCAGAGAGCAAGGCAAAGCTGTCCAGGACAGATGGCCTGGTGGTGGAAAGAAGGTGTCAGAATGTTCCCAGTAAAGGAGCCTCAAAGGGGTCCTTCAGACTAGGAATACCCAGACTCACCCCCAAAACACTCATAGCCCTATGGCTGGCCTGGGCAGGAACTAGCCTGGCTCACAGGTATTATGGGGTTAAGAAAGAGGGACACACTTTCAGTTTCTGATACAGATGGAGAGGAAAAGCAGGTCATTATAGCAGGCCCCCCTTATCTGCAGTTTCACTTTCTGAGGTTTCATCTACCCGTGGTCAACCACAGTCCAAAAATATTAAATGGCAAATTCCAGAAAAAAACAATCCATAAGTTTTAAACTGGGTGCTGTTCTGAGCAGTGTGACGAAATCTTGCTTCATCCTGCTCTGTCCCACCCAGGACGTTAATCACCACTTTGTCCAGCATATCCATGCTGTATACACTACCCACCCCATTAGTATAGAAAAAAACACAGTATCTACAGTATAGGTTTCAGTACTATCACAGTTTCAGGCATCCACAGAGGGTCTTAGAACTTATCCCCCACAGATTAGGGGGACTACTATATTTGAATGGGGGTGAGGACAATGGCAAAGTAGGAACCATGGCTACACTATTATCACTAAAACTTCAGAAACTGGGTAAAAGTCTCCTTTCTGGCCTAAAAATAGTATCCACACTTCCAGAGTAGATTGGACCTAAAAGACTCAGCAACAGCCATGGCAAGAGATCCAGTATGAATACTGTAGTGGGAGGACCCACTGCGGGAGGAACTCCTCCCAGAGAAGTCAAATGATGAGAATCAAAAGCTAGTGAGAGGGGCTTCCCTGGTGGCGCAGTGGTTGAGAGTCCGCCTGCGGATGCAGGGGACGCGGGTTCGTGCCCCGGTCCGGGAAGATCCCACATGCCGCAGAGAGGCTGGGCCCATGAGCCATGGCCGCTGAGCCTGCGCGTCCGGAGCCTGTGCTCCACAACGGGAGAGGCCACAACAGTGAGAGGCCCGTGTACAGCAAAAAAAAAAAAAAAAAAAGCTAGTGAGAACCTGGGCTGGGAAACTGGGCATTTCTCTACTTCCTTACCATGGGGGCCCAAAGCCAACTTCAGTGTTAAATGTTGGGAAACCCAACTCTTTCTAAATCAAGAGATGTTTGCAAACTGATAAATGGTTACGTCACTGGAGATGTCCTATCCAGCAGGTAGCCTGGCCCCCCATCCATGGAGCCCTCCCCAGCTTGCCCTGGCAACCCTTACCAGGTCAGCCGGTCATATTCATTCTCCAACTTGTAAATGAAACTCCCCAGCGAATTCTTCAGATCAGCCACTTGACTCAGCAGTGCATCTAATGATGCCTCAAGCTGCTTCTCCTCCCTCTGCACCAATAGGAATAGGTTGGTTACTCAGATGAGTGTGAGGATGACACATACAGAGGAAGGCTGAAAAGCCAGGATGACAGTGTGCGATACCAGTCCAGTGACATAGGATCTCATTGGCGTAGTGAGAGCCAGGTTGTTTACTTTCTTTGGTATTAGGGTTACAGACAGCGTCAACCCTTAGACCTTTACACCCATTCATCTGACCTCAATTCCTCCTACCTACTGATTCCTTTCTCTCATTGCTCCTAATCCAGGCCTGGTTTTTCTCTGTATTAGGTACACTCTATTCTCTCCCACTGAGTAATTTTCACCAGACCTAAATGCCTGGGGTTTATTATCTTTTGGGCACCTCTGCAGCATACATGCTCTGACTTCCTCTGTCCTAAAACCTGCCGGTGAGTGTAGCCGTTCTTGCCCATGATACAATCTCTGGAAAATCTACCTACACCTGAAGGCTCTTCTGAATACCTGCCACTGCCACCGCCACCACCGCTGCCATCCCCACCTTCATTTGCCCTCAGTCTTTGCTCCTTCAACCTCCTCCTTGCTAAATTAATCTGCACTCATTTTATCTCTGTACCAATATTCCTGTGCCCCTTTCACAAGCTTAGTCAGCCTATAAAAACTTACGGAGAGGCTACCAGCTGCAAGAAACTAAGTGACAAATGAAAAACGGGCACAGACTAGGAAGAATGAAGCAAAACTGTCTTAGCAAATTGCCAACGTGCAGGACAGGAGCCTTGATCCTGGGTTCCACCCACGGCCTCAGATTATATTAGTCTGGCTTTTGGCCACCGCGGTCCCATAATTCCTTCCACCCTCGGGCTTCTCTCCAATTACAGATTACCTGTTCTGTCGGCATCCGACAACGGCCATCCAACAGCCTAGGCCGGGGCCTGAGCCGATCCACCACTTTCTTGAGCCGTCTTCCTTGGACTGCACCTCAACCTTCCCAAATTACAACCTGATCCTTTCCCACACCCTAGCAAGTCAGTGCTGCCTTCTCCCTCCCGACTTAACCGCAGTCTGTCTCCCGTCAGCCGGGCTCCACCCCCATCTCTCATCTGCGCCGCTCCCTCGCCAGTGGGCCTCTGCCCCATCGTGCGTCCCCTTATTCGACGGTCGAGGGCTCTACCCCCTCCTCTCAGCCCCAACTCCTCACTCACTCCTCCGCCAGCCCACTCTCTGTACCGATACCCGAAGCTAGCTAGCGGTCACTAGCGCCAACCTGGCCCTCACCTGCATTGCGGCAACAGGGTCAGTGTCAAAGACTTCCTCTTCCGTTTCCCAAGTCAGCCAATCACAAAGCTCAGGACTCGGCCCTCCCCCTCACTTCCTGTCCCGCTGGTCGCCAGGCCGCCGGGTCAGGGGTCACGAGCGGAGCAGCTTCTCTGGCCCGGGCCGGCGCGGGAGGGCTGTGTGATGGCCTCGGAGCGCCCGGAGCCGGAGGTGAGGGGCGGGCGGGCGCAGCGCTGGGTCCCGAGATCCGAGGGGGAGGGTCCGGCGGCCGGGCGCGGCCGTGGCCTCCTCCGGGTCCGGAGCCGCCGGGTCAGCCCGAAGCCCAAACATTCGTTATCTCCTCCCCCGCACTTTCCTGGGGGGCCTAGAGGAGCTTGTCGCTGTTTTGTTTGCCGAAATTTCATCCACGACGCCAACCCTAGGGCTCTCGGGTTCTTTGACCTCGCAATGGTATTAAGAAAACCTGTATTTTGATTTTCCGTTGCAGTTTCAGTGGGCAGCTTTGCCAGTTGCTGCATTTCTTCAAATATTGGAATGCCATAAACAGCATGAATTTAGTTCTAGCGCTCATGCTTTTGGAGAGCAGCTTTGGTTTCATGAAAAAACATTTGACTCAGAGAGAAGCCTCGTTCCGGTATTGGCGCTGCCGTGTAAACTATCTGTGCAACTTCGGGCAAGTCTTGACTTCCCGGCCTGTTTCCTTCTTCATAAAGTACTTATCATTGGTGTATTGTTAGGGTCACATGTTTTAAATCAGAAAATGCAAATAAAGTATCCATAAGGTGCTAAGGACCATGCAAGGAACTTTATATACATTGTGTCATTCAGACTTGTGCAAAGGAAGGTGGCAATACCCGCTGTCATTTACAGGTAAGAATCTGAAAATCGAGAGAAGTACCTTACCCAACTGCTACTCTCAGCTGGGGTGTAGCAGAGTTTTGGAGTTAGATGATCTGAGCGTAAAATCTCAGATTTGGAAAGAACAACGTCACTAGGAGAGGGGCGCAGTGTTACAAGAGAATATATGAGTAGATGGGAAGGGTGAGAGATGTGTATAATGATGCCAATAGTTGTCATTACTTATTGAATGCTTACTGTGTGTCAGGGACCATCTCAGCACTTTACCAACAATTAATACTCTGAACCCTACGCAGTAGACAATATTATCATCCCCATTTTTCAGTTGAGGAAACTGAGGCACAGAGATAGATATTAAGAGTAATAAAGTTGCACAGCTAGTAAGTACCAGAGCCAGGACTCCAAAACTGGTGGTCTGCTGTAGATCTTGTGTTCTTAGTCATAATGTTTACAGTATAAATAATAAAGTAGCCACAGGATGGTAAATCTCCAATTCGATGTCACGAGCCCCAAGATTAAATATGGTTGTAGGAAACTACCCTGTTAAAAAGGATCAGATGTGTTGACAGGGGTGATGGAGTAGCGTATGCATCAGAAATATTGAGAAAAACCGATGAAGGAATTTGGAGTATGTTTTGTTATGGATTAAAATGAGAAGAAATGGAGGGATGTTGTGGTGAAATACAACGTACCTTTTAGGCAGGTAGTCTAAAACAGCATTGCATCCAATGCAAGGCATATATGTCAGTTTTCTAGTAGCCACATTTAAAAAGGTTAAAAAAAACAGGTAAAATTAACTTTAATAACATATTTTTCTTTAACCCCATTATTTCCAAAACATCATTTCAATATGTAATAAATATTAAAAATTATGAGATATTTAACGTTCTTTTATTGTACCAAGTCTTTAAAATCCAGAGTGTATTTTACAGCATATCTCACTTTGGACTAGCAACATCTCAAGTGCTCACCATATGGTAGTGGCTACCATATTGAGCAGTGCAAATCTAAGGGAACCTGGAGTCAAGACATACGCTCCTGGAAGTCTCACTCAGCCAAAGGTTCATTTGTTGAATTCTTGATTTACATTTCTGAAAATTTTATCTCAGAAGGTAAAGGGAGTGAAGAGTCCTGCCCCTGAGCAGAAAAGTGACTGATCGTTAGATGTTATTACAATTCTAAGAGAGAAATATTGGGCATAGTCAGATTTCAGAAGTCATTCATTCCTCAGATACTTAAATTATTTTATGCTGCTGCTATGGACTCAGAATTGTGCTAATTATCAGGGTGGATATGGAGCAGTGTAAGACACATTCCCTATTCTAATGGAGTGCACATGTTGAATTATGATAATAAGTGCTTCAAAGGAAAAGTACAGATTGAATGAGTGTTTAACAGGGGTTCTTAACCTAATTGTTTAGTGGAGGGGGTGGATCAGAAAGCCTCAGAGGAATGACATTTAAGCCGGAAGAAGGAGTGGAAGGTGGCTGTGAGAAGAGGCAGAGCGCATGCATTACAGGCAAAGGGGACAGTGAAAACCCTGAGGTAAGGAGGAGCTGAGGACCTTCAGAGAACTAAGACGAAGCAGCTGCCAGTGTGGGCGCAGTGGCAGTGAGAATAGCTAACACTAGTGCTTACTGAGTATCATCTAATACTGGGAAAACCCCTGTGAAATAGGCACCGTTGGGACTTCCCTGGCAGTCCAGTGGTTAAGACTAAGCCTTCCAGTGTAGGGGGTGCGGGTGCGAGTTCGATCCCTGGTCGAGGAGCTAAGATCCCACGTGCCTCGCGGCCAAAAAACCAAAACATAAAACAGAAGTAATATTGTAACAAATTCAATAAAGACTTTAAAAATGGTCCACATCAAAAAAAATCTTAAAAAAAAGAAAAATAAGCACTCTTACTATCCCTGTTTCTCAGATGAGGAAATTAAGGCACAGAGCGTGTAAGTAACTTCACCAAGGCCTTATACTAATAAGCAGCAGAACCAGCGTTTGATCCGAGGTGCTCGAACTCAGGTGGACGCGGGTGAGAGAGAAGGCTGGTGAAGAAGATTCAGGTTGAAGCCGTGCTAGAGGTTCAGGACTTTGGCATAAGTACAGTGGTTCAAGGGCAGGTGGAGACTACATTATTTTGTGGGATTCTGTTAACAGAAAACAGCACAGGGGTTGGAAAAGTCCAGGAATAATTTATACCTTAACCACCAAGGGACAGGGGCAATGAACAAACAACAAATTAACGAGATGGACAATGTTTGCTTCATCCTGGTATACATGGTATGCAGCACAGTGCCTGATAATGTTTTATTCATCTTGCTATAAATGGTATATAGGCCTAAATAAATTTTCCAAAGAATGATAGGCTTCCTCTATCATTGTTCTGACTCTCCTGATTAATTGCCACAACATCCTTCTGAAGTAGACATTCTTTTCCTTTTTTAAAATTTATTTATTTATTTTTGGCTGCATTGGGTCTTTGTTGCTGCACGTGGGCTTTTCTCTAGTTGCAGCGAGTGGGACCTACTCTTCGTGGCAGTGCGCGGGCTTCTCATTGCCGTGGCTTCTCTTGTTGTGGAGCATGGGCTCTAGGCACACGGGCTTCAGTAGTTGTGGCACTTGGGCTCAGTAATTGTAGTTCGCGGGCTCTAGAGTGCAGGCTCAGTAGTTGTGGCGCATGGGCTTAGTTGCTCCGTGGCATGTGGGATCTTCCTGGACCAGGGCTCGAACCCGTGTCCCCTGCATTGGCAGGCGGATTCTTAACCACTGCACCACCAAGGAAGTCCCTGAAGTAGACATTCTTATCCACATGTTATAGATGAAGAAACTGAGGCCTGGGAAAACTAACTTGTCCAAGCTCACCTAGATAGCAAGTAGTAGAGCCAGATTTAAATCCAGATCTCTGACTTAGAAACCCTGCTTTCCCTTTGCCAGACTGCTCCAGTGAACTTCAGACTCAGAAGGATTAAGTATCAGGGATTAAAGCTCCATATGAGTATGGGTGCTGGGAGAACACAACCAATTCAGGGATTCTCAAACAGTAAAGCGGAAGAATCACTTGGGGGAGCTTGTTACGTATAGCTTCCCAAGCTCTCTCAGCTCTTAATTCAATTGGTCTCAGATGGTGCCCAGGAATCTGCATTTTAACAAGCACCTCAGGTGGTTCTGATGCTGCTGGTCCTTGGATCACACTTGGAAAAATACCATTCTAGCTGCTTTAATTAATTCTTGAGTCTTTAGTTCTGTTAAATCACCTCTTGAATGTGAAGAAAACTTAGAGATGATGTTTGTGAAAATGTAGTCGTTGACTTGGAAGGATCATGTATGGGGGGAATGTTGCGAGAAAACTCGAGTTAGGAAATGTTCCTGGTTTCAAGAGAGTGGATTCTATAAGAACTGATTGGTGAACTAGACTTCAGTTTGGCCTTGAAGAGTCAGTCATTCAAAATAACCTTCGAAACAAGGTGGAGAAATGGAAGCTGCACAGCAGTGGAATTCAGCAGCCTACGAACAAATAGTGTGAAGAAAATCTAATAGATCAGTGCTTGTTTATCCTCCATCTGGTGTATTCCCCTTTCCCTCCTCACTAGGCCAACCCTGCTCAGTCTTCAGGGTCACCTTCTCTTAAGACTCTTGCCTGAGTCAGGTTACTTTGTTACATGCTGTCATAAAACCACATTCTTATCCTTGGCACACTTAGTTTGTATTAATGTAGTATTTAGAGTGATTATTTGATTAGTTTTTTCCTCCATTACAGGGTAAATCTTGCGAGGGCAGAGAATGCCAATTTTTGCTTTCCATTGTATCCTTAGGGCCAGCCCAGTGCTAGCATGTATCAGGCTCTCCGTAAATTTGTTGACTGATAAATGAATGCATGCTCACCTTGCCTTTGTCCTCTTGGGACTTGGATGAGGACTTGATGGCATCCTGATCAAATTAGCAGGGAAATTAAGCTGGAAAGGGATTTACTAGCAGACAAAACAGCAGTCAAGCTTCACAATAGAAAATAGGCTGGATTTATCCAATGTAATAGGACGAATTGAATAATTGTGTGTGTCCCAAAAAAGCCAGCTGCATGAGGAGAGAATGGGGGATGTGTCTAAGCAGCAGCAAAAGGGAGAAAGAGAGGTTTCTTGGGTC